AACCCAAAATTGAAACATGTTGCAACGCTTAACACACAAATTCGGCTAAAAGTAGCAGCAGAAAAACACAATTTTCAATTGAGTATTTTATTGAGTAACTTCTTGTTTATCTTTTTGACATCTTTATGTTTTAAGTACCCAAGCTGATCTGTGTAAGAGATTTAAATTTTTCTATTTTTAGGTTTTCGAACTTCAGTGGGTTTCCTTTACTTAAAACAGGCCAGATGGTAAAAACGCGATGGTACGATGGTGAAAATCGCAATGCTATGATGGTGAAAGCGCGATGGTCGATGATGAAAAACGCGAAGGCACTATGGTGAAAACGCTATGGTACGATGGTGAAAGCGCGATAAAAAACGATGGTGAAAACGGGATGGTTCGATGGTGAAAACGCGATAGTACGATGATGAAAACACGATGGCGCGATGGTGGAAACGCGATGGTATTATGGGGAAATCCGCGATGGTACGATGGTGAAAACGCGATGTTACACTATCGTACTTTCGCACCATCAACATCATCAACATTTTCAACAAACGTAACACACCAATACACGATTTCAAGTTCATGAATTCACGATATTAACTTAAAAAAATCACGATTTCAACTTCGCAAATTCAGGATTAAGATTTAAGATTTTAACGTCATCAATTTACGATATCAACATGACACATTCACGATTATTTTTCATGAATTAATAATTTTAGATTCACGAATTCACTATCTTAAGTGAGTATAGGGAATTTTGAAGTTAAAATGTTACCAAGAGTCTTTCGTTTGCGAGCCTGTATAATTCAATGTGTTACCTCGGGTTATACAAACTTGAGACAAACTTCTGATCACTATACCTTATTTGAAAGCCTATATTTTAAATTTTACGTTTTTTGGGAATAAAAAAAAAAGTAGACGTGTTTACCCTACTGCCAAAACAAAGGGAATTGATTTTACTTTTTCATTTTTTTAAAGCAATTCTTTCACTAAAAAATATCTTCAAATTTAAACTTAAACACAGGAAATTTAAGGGCCCGCCAAAAAATCTATCTTTAAAAAACAAATTTAAAATTTTGACCAAACGAGTTAACTTTTTATAACTACAATTTTTCATATGCCGCGAATAAATCCCTAAAAATTTAGATTTAAAAACAGCCCCCCGAAAAATCCCATCTTTAAAAAGGGGAAGGTTTCATAAAGCCAGAAATAATCTACAAAAAAAGAGGGTAATATAATGCAGCGATTATCTATCAATAAAAATAGAGGGAAATAAAAAATGCAGGGGTATAAAAACTATCTATTAAAAATACCCTTTCATGTATACAAAAATAACAAGCGAATAATCTATCTTTAAAGTGCAGTTACGCTTACATCGTCATTTTTTATTACATGGTCAGCCTTAGATTGATAAAATGCTTGTGAAATTAAAAGATATAAAATCTGAGGCATGTCCTGAATTATGTACAGTTATTTTAGAACAGTTCATACTGTCTTTATGTGATACACTGATCCTTTAAAAAGGAAACGGGTTTGGGGACCAGGGAGCATATATAAGGGTGGGAAATTTTTTCCCCAATATAAAAAAATTTAAATTTAAAATTTTGTTTTATTTTCCCAAATTTTGGAAAACTGAAAAAAAAGGGCCCTTGTTTTGTACCGTCATCGGTTACATATAATCTAAAGACATATAATCTAAATATCCGAAAGTTTCTCATCATTGCAGTAGTGTTGCATCCCACGGATGTTCGAAATGAATTTTTGTATGTTTATACATGTACAAAAGCCACTTAAATTTTTGTTTTGAACCGTAGTCGGATTCAAAATGATAAAGTTCTGACAGTCGACGTGTGTTAATTTCTGGATGTCGTAAAATCAATATTGACTGTTCAAATGATAATTCCAGCCATGACCGAAGATGGCCATTATTACCTGGAAACAAAAAAGAAGAGACAACAGCAATGCACACGGGAAGGGTTGATGGGTATTTTCCTTGTTGGTATCAGAGGCCAGAAGACTAGATCAAAAAGGAATTTGTTGAAGCGTGTTCGGTTTATATACCTAGTCTACTAAGCATACGCGAACGGGATTGAATGATTTGTTAGGAGAAGGATTCAGAACTACAAGTCATTGCAAAAATACTGTGACGTATTGCGTAAAAAAATTAATAGTTTAAGCTCAAGCGCTTATTCTGAATAGTATCTACCTGTTTTGAGGTGCACGTGTTTTCCGTGTTTTAAGAATCTTTTCATCAATATAAATGGTGTTTGTTCTCTCTTATAATGTTCAGAATAAATCAGTAACTGTTATTCTCTTATCTATAATAGCAACAAACAACATTTAATATAGAACTAACTCCTAATATTTGTTAGTACATGTTGCAAATCAATAAAATCAATCGGTATTGTATTTATCTGTTTCAATTGTGTTCTTGTGTAATGATTTTGTAATGTCGCTATATCCAAATCATCACTGAAAAGAAACTCTAACATTATATCTAAATACGTGGCTACAAAAATGTTATAAACGGAGTTTTATCATTGAATCACGTAATCTGTAAAAATTTAATGCTTGATAATGCTCAGTTAAAAGATCTTTAATATATGCAACTTTAACATTTATGCAACTTTAACAATTATGTATTTCAAAAGATTCTTATGTGTAATGTGCGAAAAAATGTTAAAAACGAAATATTTAGCAAGAGTGTATTTCGAACTTTTGTTATAAAAATGTTGTAAGAAGGAATGGGATCGGGGTGAGCGTATTTAAACAAGTACTTCGATACTTCGATTGAGTACCAAATTAAATGCATCGAATGAGGAAAAAAATTAATAAAACCCGCGAAAACTCTCTTTAAATATCCTACTCACCAACGAAATACAAATAAGCTTTACAATGCAAAATTGATCATAATGTCACATTAATAATGATAATAGGTGTTATACATGTCCCGTGGATAAATATTGATGATAAAATTTCTATTTTGTGATTCACGTGTATTAATTGGACTTATTTGTACACAAAGAGATTTGCTACTTAAATTCATTGTTTTGTTCTGTATAATTTTATCAACTATTGAATTCTACTTATTCAGTTCCATGTTCAAATCGATGCACATCGTCTATGTATTATAGATTCATTTCTAATGCGTGTCATCAATGGTAGATTTTCAATGAGATTAAATTCTTCTACTTCTCCAATTTTATAAAGGTCATGCACTGACTACAGCACTTTGTCAGAACAATTTTTAAATTCAAAGTTTTCAAACATGTACTTCACATAACAAAATTCATATCGTTGAAATTATTGAAAACATACGGAAACTTTAAAGGGCTTCCCATGTAGTCCGATCATGGGGTGTAATACGACAGATTTTTGTTCGATTTGAGTAGATGTTATACCGCAAATCAATTTTTTTTATTGCAGTTGTACGGTTGAATTAGTTGTGCGTATTGTTGGGCGTTTTTTTTTTTTTTTTTTTTTTTTTTTTTTTTTAATAAAGGAGAGACCTTTTTTTGTCTGTAGTAACACTCAACACAGCTACTTTGTGGCGCAAACGAATGAAAGAATATTTAACGTGTGCATGCGTGCCTTTTGATTTTGGTGAGAAATGTTAGGATGCCTGTTCAGAAGAAACCAGTTGATATTAATTAATATAAATTATATAGAATGTCATTTAACTGTTACATGTTGCAATGAATGTATAGGATGAATGGAAATGAAATAAAATACGGGAAAATGAATTAGACAATTATATTGGACATGTACATATATTTGATATTTAAAATGACAAACGGACAGGAGATATCTAACGACACAATACATAAAACATACATATAAACAATACATTATACATGTCGGTATAATATCATTGTGACATACTTTACCACTATGGAAAATGTTGTTTCGACATTTGAATAATTTATGAAATTACCGTTTAGTAAAACTGAAGAAATAACAGGAGTGCTCTGAAATTTACAATTAAAATTTACTATAAAAAGCATTAAACTTAATATGTTATAAAGGCATTTTGAATTATTATTAAGTATTTTTAGGGCCCTTGCTGAAATGTTAGCCATCATACAAAGCTGCCTGAAGACGGTACACATGATTAAACCATATGTTTAATTAAAATTGAGGATTAGATAATACTGTAAAGTATTCATATTTGTATTATAGGCGTGCAATTTAATATAATTCAAATAAACAAATTTATATATAATAGATAAAAGAGTAAATAAGAACCCAGGAGTACATTATTAGAAAGACAAAAAATCGCCTAGACAAAATAATTTCATGTTTTTTGAGGAAAATGACTAAGAATGACAAAAATGGTCAAGTCTTTGTGAATAAAATGAACTCAGTACTGGTTGGTTCTAGGAACGGATCCGAAAGTGTGGCTTTAAGCTTATAGCCGCCAACACAATCTGTAAAAACCGAAATAAATTATTTTTTTAATTCGCTTCGCTGTTTCAATATCATTTAATACACATCAATACAAAATATAACACAAAATGTTTATGTGGTGGTCAGTCAACCTACGTTCAATATTGCTATATTTAAAGTCAAACGAAAACATGGTAAAACAAAAGGGCCATGATGGCCCTGAGGTCGCTCACCTGTATCTAGGCCCCCGGAGCGGGGCCAGTCTAAACCCCAGGGCTTTTATTTGAACAAACTTGGAAGACACTCATTAGAAGATGTTTCACAATGTTAAGTTTTTACTATTTTACTACACATATGTAATGAAAAACAATGATCTCACATTTCCCCCCCCCCCCCCAGGTCCAATTTTCACCCAATGGCTTTTATTTGAACAAACTTGGTAGACATCCATAAGAAGATATTTCATGCTAAACATCTAAGCTCTAGCTCATTCGGTTTTTTAATAGCACTAATGTTCAGTATTATGATCTGAATATAACCGGCACGCGTACATGTACTGGAAAGTTATTATATATATTTTTTTTTCTGCAGAAATTATATATTCAGACAAGATAAAAATGAAACCATATCATTACCATTTTATTAAACAATAGAGCTGGCGAATGATTTTTCACCTTGGCTATCATATTTCACGTGTATGAATAACGAATATTCCATTAAAAATGGATGCCACGTGACCAAATGAATGATGATTATATTATATTATAAGGATTTCAAATTATATCTGAATCCATGCAAAAGTCATGAAATTGATAAAAGTTTGTGTTACAAGAAAACGAAAACTTTTTGAATATTTGTCAGGTTAGTAGCAACAACTCGCTTCTCTATCGGATGATACATGAAAAGACCTTTAGCGTCGCCTCTCATATAGACGGCCATAACACCAAAACCACTCCTTGTTAGGATGATTTCGTCACATAATGATAGAATAAATTGCTCCAAAATAACTGTATACAGTCCTTTGCATGCTTCTTCTTTTAACTTTCCAAACGGTCCGAGTCTGTCAACGTGAACTATAGGTCGGTTTATGTTGACGTAAGAAGTGAGGTTATTTTTAGCACTTTCTTTCACTTTGTCCGAATCTGAAGCCACATAAATGAAATAATCCGAGTTTTTGTCATATTTTTTCAAAAAGTCAAATAGCACCGTTTCATTAGGACGTCCGAAACGCGGGATTAGGTCTGTGGGCATGTTTGGATTTTTACCTGTGCGGATGTGACAACAAACAAATTTTTTCATTCTAATTCGATTAGTATAAAATTCATTTGTATCATTTAAAATCCACTCATTTGGCTTGAATAATGTATTAAGTACTAAATGTATGGCTTCTTCGTTATTTATGTTCAAAAGCCATTTTAATCTTGATTTACCCAAGGTGTGATTTTTTAATCCATCGATCACATGGGTATGAAATCGTATGAAAATTACATGCTTTGTCCAAATTCTTTGAAAGTCAAAATGCTCAACAACTTTTGCAAATTTGTAGTCTTCAATGTGATTAAATGTTCTTGTTAAGTTATGAGGAACAGATTTGATATAAGATTTACATATTGACCAGTCGTATATGTTAGGCAGTAAAAACTGATCTAGGTTGCAAGGCTGTACCATATCGATCACAAACACACGCTTTGTCAAAAGAGCCATTAGAAAAGATGACACTATTCCCTTTTGCCGATCAGCCCAGCCGCCACAAGGAATAGAAGAATCGCACCGGTAAACAAGGAAGTTTCTATTTTTACATTGGTTTTTATTTAAAACAGTAATATCCTCCAATGATTCCGCTGTTAATACACGCCGATCTTTGTTCAATATATTTTCTGCATATGATCGATTTTTTGAGACGTGGTTTACACATGGTTGATTAGACGAGTTGTTTTTCTCAATTTTGATAACTGATATGTAAATTCCATGGATATATGCGACCTGCACCGTGACGATAAAAGATAGCACTGCAATTGCCTAAAATGAATGAAAACAAATATTGATTAATAATCTTCATATAAACATATAGATATAGAGGATATTTGTTGATCGGAATATATTTCACCGAGTGAGCACCAAAAGGTATATTTCACGAGTGGCGCAGCCACGGGTGAAATATGAACTTTTGGTGTTCACAAGGTGAAATATATTTCGATCTTACACTAAACTAAACAAATTTTCTTTTTATTATATGCAAAGAAACGTTTTAAAAATACATTAAACCTAATACTGAATGTAAAGCGCGCCAAATAATAATACAACGTGACGTCATTTACGACGTCACGTCATTAAGTTGGTACCCACTACTGTGCACGCTAATATTTCTCTGAAACAACGTAAGGGGCTTAAATTCAAAACAGTGAAATTATCAAAGTGGTAATTTCACTGTTTCAAACAGTGAAATTACCAGTTTTATATCACTGATATTTTTCTATAAACCACCGAAAAGCGTGTAATAAACAACACTCATCCGATTCCCTGAAGTGAGATTATGCTGGAAAATTGGGCTGAATAATAATCATTATAATACGAAATCTCGTATTTCATTAATGCCGTTTATTTGAAGGGAGACAACCCTGGCATGACATTATGTTCATATTTTATACTAGTTATCTCCCTTTATCTGAAAGATTTTGTTTTTCTAAAAACTTATAGACCCAACCTTTCCCTCCCGCCGGAATATTTTCCTTCTAATTGTGTTGTGCTTTCTTATTTCTAATTTCAGCTTATTTAAGATGGATGCCATCAATAGTTTTCAAGCGAAACGTCATGGCTGGATTTCATAATGCGTCTGTAGACAAGTGCATAAAGACTTTAATTAAGCAAGCTATGATGATGAATATGTTTTTCTATCTCTTTATCGTATTACTGATTGTATTATTTTTACGAGATCATCATAAGTTTTATAGTATATGTTACCTTTAAACTGGTTGAAGGATTTTGTAAGTTTTTTTGTGTGTGTTTGGGACAGACAGCAAAATAACAAATAAAGAATTACAAAGTTAGAAGTTCCGTTTTTACATATTTACATACTGTATTTTAAATTTTTAGAGCATTTTATAAATATACAAAACCGTTAAAATTATGAAACAAACGATGAATAAGAAAATGAAGAATGAACATAATTAGTATGTATACACTTATGGAAGTAAATTACCTGAGAGACAACAAAAATATAAATAAAGAATTACTAAATTAGAGTTACGTCCTTACAGTTACAACTGAATTTTAAATTTGCCATGCGCATGCGTGGCGGTAAATTATGAGCGAACAAACGAGTCCAGTTACCATAGTGTAGTTACTATAGTTAGTGTATGGTAAATGAGGAATGATAATGAGCCTATGGTAGTGAATATGAGGATGAAGAGTGGAAGAAATAGGAAGAATGTATTTATTAGAAATGCACTATATATCATATACGATATAATGATAGTAAGGTATATATATAATGACAAATGACGCTGTGACATTCTTCCCCGCTCAGTCACAAATGTTGTTTAGACATTTCTATATTTTACTAGTTATTTAAATTAATTACAACTACATACCAAGGGGTAGAAGTTTTTAAACATATATAACTACTTTTTACAAAGCATTTACAAAATATGCACTTTTTAATATTGAATATTTAGAAAATTAGCAGACGTTTCTTTTGCAATTTGACATTGTTTGTCCTAAGTACACAATACATCGATCCAATATAAAACCTATCCCGTGCTGGCACGGAATTTTCGCTTTATATGGCAATACTTAATATAGCATAATTGGCACGTGCAGTCCGAGGCGAAGGTACATGTCACAGGAAATGTGTATAGAAATTATCCTTATACCCACTACAAAGGGAAAAACACATTTAATTTCACAGCGCTTGTCACTGAACATGCATCAATAGTCGAAGTGGCCACACTCGATACTGACTACAATTAACATCGAATTTCCAATTTCAGCAGAATGAAATGATAATTGTGGAAATTTGCTTATTTCAGAGTATGAGGAACCTTTCATGTTCGGACCTAGTCCATTCTCGAGACAAAATCATATCCTAATGACACCGGAATTTAAAGTCACGATTATAATGTATATGTTCTAATCTTGGTTTTGGTACCAAAAACGTGGACATTAAGCATATTAGGCAACGGGAACGTTTCAAAATTGTAATGAAATGAGACTCCAACCATGACAGAAACATAGACTTAATCCGGTGTTTTTTGTTCTTTTGGCTCTTCAGGAAAACAATTATTTCGTTTTGCTCGCTCGCTCACACATAAAAATTATTGATTTTAAAGTATTGATTTATAACGATTGTCGCTCGCTCGCCCCATTTTTTTTTCTGTAAAAATTTCGTAGTCAATTTGATGATGTTCAAGAAAGGGCGGCTACATAACAATAGGAGATACTTCTAAAGAAATATTATTGTTAGTTAAACAAAGATAGAGCTTTAAAGATAAATTTTAATCAAGAATGAGCATAGTATATCTTTAAGCATTATTTTGCTATTATCTACACGAATACAGAACAAATATCAGAACAAACCATATTCAATTTACATAGTTTAACAATCATCAAAATAAAACACAAACCAGTAGAAATCCTTTTAGTTTAATTAAACGTATTCCTAACATATTGATTCACAAATATTGAACGTTTATACGGCGAGTAAAGTATCGTATGTTCTAAAAGAACAATTAACAATATATCCAATAAAAGATTAGTATTCAGACTTGCCTTACACAATATGAGTAGCACGCAGTGGAGCCTATGGAACGCCATAGCTGCCTCATGTTATTACATTTCTTTTTATTTTGCCCAGTGAGCGTCTTATATGTCAAATATAAGCGTTGTAATGCCATTGTAATTTGTCGACTTGTCTAAACATTGCCTTACCTAACAGTAGTTTTATCTCTGTAAAATGTGATGTTGGCTTGTGTTAAAATTGTTTAATTATTTTAATCAGTAGTGTTATCATGTCAAAAATGTCGTTTTGGCTTGTCTGAAATGTACCATATTATGTCAACTAGTCGCGCTATTTGGTAAAATTGTGGAGCTGTTGTTTTTTTTCAAAAGACTGTTCATTTGAAACAGTAGTGCTCTCTTGTCGAAATTTTGTGTTGACTTGTAAAAGCACAGCTTTATTTTATGAAACTGTCATATTATAATATAATATATAGTATAATAAAGTGAAGAAGAAAGCATACAATATAAATTATACAAAATTCGACAGGGCCAGAGAGTTAGCAATTTAGCTAAATCTCAACCTAGACAGTTTTGGAAAAAGATTCGAAAATCTTTTAAAAAGGCACCACTAAAAGGCCGATAATCTTAATATCGATAGTCTGTTTAACCATTTTAAAGGCATGTTTGGTGAGGAACCGCCGAGTAGTGAAAATGACGACTATATTCCGCAGAACGACCAGACCGATGCTGACCTAGATGGTTATTTTACAGAACAAGAACTTAGATCCCCAGTTTTCCACCAAAACAATAATAAAATGCCGGGGTTAGATAATCTTCCAAGTGAATTGTTTAAGTCGAGCTATGATTTAATTTCATCTCTTTTGTTGAAAATATATCATAGAATATTTAACAGTGGTGAATATCCTAATTCTTGGGGTTTAGGAATAATTACTCCTATCTTTAAAAAAGGGGACATATATGATGCTAAGAATTATCGAGGCATTTGTCTTATTAATGTACTTGCAAAAGTTTACTCAGTTGCTTTTAAATAGATTAACTCAATGGTCCAACAAATAAGATACGCTTGACAAAAATCAATTCGGATTCCAAAAGGGGAAGTCAATAATTGATTGTATTTTTGTCCTACATTCTGTATTAAGTAAAGTTTTAGACTTGGGTAAAAAACTTTATTGCTGCTTTGTTGATTATATGTTGTGTTTTGATAGAATTAATAGAACATATTTATGTCAAAACCTTCTAACAGAAAAAGTTAGTAGTAAATTTGTACGGGTCGTAAAAGCAATGTTTATTACCCTTCCAGATTTTTTCCGCCTTTTTGATTGGATATTGATCACCCGAAAGAAATTTATATAACCGAGCCAGACGGGTAATATACACACTAAATTTCCCCGTTGGGTACCCAACGTTGTAAACAACATGCGCTGAGGTGATGCGCGTACGGTTCGATTTTACGCGGTGTAAATTCCGATTTAAAAGCACTTTTTAACTGTCAAATGATAAATATTTACCAAAGTAGAGTAATGATACATATTACCATCAGTATCGAAAACAAATATGACCTTGTGAAAGCTTGATATTAATTACAAAAAAGTGCGTTCAATAGACTACTCCTTTTCTCTTGTTTACATTCGTTAGGTACGGGAAAAATACGTCATGTATTTATGTGACGTCATGTTGTGACGAAGAGGTACCCTAAAGGGAATCTTATTTCGACGTTTCATTTGAAACAGCAATGATTTTTTAAAAAATCGTCTAAACTCGGCAGGGGAAGGGTAATAAAATTATTATTTTGGTTTTGGAGTGATATATGTGGATATATTACCTGCCAAGATAAAATATCACCCTCGCCTAACGGCTCGGTGATATAAAATCTTAACAGGTAATATATCCACATATACCACTCCAAAACCAAAATAACATAATTTTTATAATACTATTGTTAAGTCATGGGTAAAGTTCAATTCAGAATCATCAGACTTCTTCACCTCTAACATCGGATTGAAACAAGGTGACCCAAGCTCCCCTCTGCTATTTATGTACTTCGTAAATGACGTCACACATAATATTAATACTAATATTGTTGATACATTCACAATTAACGAAGTAAAATACTTTTTATTATTGTATGCTGATGACCAAGTACTATATGCTACATCCCCGGAAGCATTACAGTCTATGATTAATGATCGTGTCATGTATTGTAGGGAGTGGGGTCTAACAATCAACACTACAAAAACTAAAATATTAATATTCGAAAGAGGACGTCACTCTCAACATAACTT